CAAAATGAGGTCACAAAGAGCCCCAAAATGAGGTTACAAAGAGTTGGACATGGCTGAAATGAATGAACAACATTCATTTTCTTCTCTCTTACTTTCCCTCACCCAAGTACAATTACAGTACCTGAACAAAAATAATTTTCCTGTTGCTTTAAATGTCTACAAAATACTTAATAATTCCTCAGGTTCATTTTGAAGATTATTCACTTCTCCCAAATGAATCTTTTAATGTTATAATTGCTATTATTAATAAATCTTCAGCTTCTTTACCTTAAAGACAAGTTCTGACAAAGGAATGAATGAACTGAAAGGAAGAGTCCTCCAAATCAGCCAATAAATCTAATGCGTTTAAAACAACCACATTTAGTCAAGACTTCCTACTGATCAGTAGTATGAGAAGACTAGTTAAAAAGAAACATTGGCAGGCCTCCTAAAAATGTACCTACAATTCCATTTAAGTTCTCACTGTAAAGTGTATTAAAATTGGTTTAACTCTAAGACTGCAAGGTTCTAGGACAAAAGATAGCCATTGGGTGGGGTTTTCTACATCAGGAGATTTACTCCTGATTTTGTTTCAATCACTTCTTAAACTTGCATCAACAAGTTTTGGTTATGTTTCAGCATAACTGATTCTAGTTATAAAAGTTAACTCTCAATATTCATATACTCCTTTAGGTAAATTTGAAGTTGTTAATATTTTCAATTAGGCTATGGTGTCTGAGGCCAGATCTGAACTAAAGTCTTCTTGATTCTAGGCCTGGCATCTGCTGAGCAACCTAGATGCCCTAGGTGGATGATACATACTAAGAAAATGACTAAATGTCTGTATCACTTGATACAGGAATATACCTAAAGTATAGCTATAGTCAAAGAGAGAGAAAAAAGGTCTAATATAGACAAAAATATTCATAGCAGCACTTTTTGTAGTAGCTAAGAATTGGTAAACAACAAATGTCCATCAACTGGGAAGTCTAAGCTAAATGTGACATAAATGTAAGGAAATATCACTATGCCTTAAGAAACAATCAATATGAAGAATTCGGAGAAACATGGGAAGACTTAGATAAAATGATATACAGTGAAGTAAGCAGAACCAGGAAAACAAGATACACAACAACTACAACTTAAGTAGAAAGTATATTTAAAAAAAAAAGGATATCAAAACCAAATGCTTTGTAATTATAATGACTAAGCATGGAACCAAAGAAGAATTATGAGAATTCACTTCCCTCCCTTCTTTGCAAATGTTGGGGGCTATGGGTGCGGAACATGACAGACTCAGTTGACATGTTGATTAGTTTTGCGTGACTACTTTTTTCCCCTCTTTTACATTCCTCTGGATGGAGGAAGAAGGACGGATATATTGGGAAATGAAGGTGATTTAAAAACAAAAGATTATCAGTAATGTTTTAAAACAAAGTCAATAGAGATTATGAATAAGCCGGTACCAAGGCTGTCAGTCACTAAAACATGTATGAGCAAGCTTTTGTGATCTCTTCAAGGTGCTCCATAAACTGTGTATAGCACAAGCTCAATCTCTACTGTTTGTGGCAAACTTAATTTCTATCAGATCCCAAACTGATTAGGTAACCTTTCCCAATCAAAATACTCAACTTATTCTTTTTTTTTCAAGAGATCCTAAAAGATATTTAATTGATCAGAAGACAAAAGAGACTTCAAATTTAACAGTCTGTCACCAACAGAACACAGTCTAAATTATTAGTCACCACAATGATTTGTTACTTTTCAACTCAAAAAAAAAAATTAAAGAACAATTAAAGCAACCCCAATTCAGTATTAAGTTCCTGGTTTCTACAGTTTGAAGATGTTTACTTACACATGCATTTCATAATCTGGGAAACACAAACATCTAACAACGTAAGGAATTCTTCCTTTCAAAATATCCTTGAAAATCACAACAATCGTCATGAAATTGTTTTAGGTGACAATGAGAATCATTCTGAAAAGACAAATCTAAATGAAAGGCAGAAGTCAAATATGAATCTATACCATGCCAAGTCAAATACCACAGTATTTTCCTCAACTCTATGACAAATTTCTAAACTCTTAAGTACTGCTTTAATTATCACATAGGGGATCTACGTGACCAAGTTACTTTCTGTTTAACTTAAATTTAACTTTGAAAGTACTATTCTAATATGTATACCTGTATTTTAATATGACTAGCAACCTGACCTACTGTGTTCTTTTAAGGAAACTCTATATACTAAATTAGAATTGATTTCTAATCAAGAAACAGCTACATTTTACCAGTACAATTCTAAATGCTGCTCTAAAACATGTCTTTGTAGTATAATAAACAAAATTTTATATGAACTTTCATAATTTACCTCTGAAAAGGATGAAAGATTTCTGAGGGAAAAAGAATAGTCCAAACCTGTCATTACATTGATGTTAAGAAACCCCCTCTATCAATGCAGATGAGTAACTGCTCTGCAATTTAATCTTAGAGAGCTGTTTTCGGTACTCAGAGGTTAGATGATTTACCAAGAGTCACAAGGTCACTATGTGCCAAAACCAGTACTTGAATTCAGGTATTCCTACTGCCAAGGCCGTGTCTCTATACGCT